TCTGATTGCTGTGGGGAGGAACGACCTACGGTAATGCTCCTTCTTACACTGGGGATGTAACAGTCTTGTGCTGAAAGAACTGTTCAGAGCCACCACTGTGTGGTGCAGGAGATGGGAGGGGTTATGCATGATGGATGTTAGTTTTACCAGCATCCTTCTGTCCGCCACCTCCTCGATGGAATCCAGAGGGCAGTCCAGGACAGAACCAGCTCTCTTAACCAGCTTGTTGAATCTCATTCTGTCCCTCACCGTGGTACCTCCTGCCCAACCCACAACAGCGTAAAAAATAGCAGATGCCTCCACAGTATCATAAAATGTCCGAAGGAGTGCCCCGCGCACACCAAAGGACCTCAGTCTCCTCAACAAGTGGAGGCGGCTCTGGCCCTTCCTGTACAGGGCATCTGTGTTGTTGCTCCAATCCAGCTTATTGGTGAGGTGGACACCCAGGTATTTAAAGGTGTCCACAATCTCAATATCTGAGCCCTGCAAGCTGTGGGATTAATTGTGTGAGTAATATTCGATAGTTCTTGATTTCCTGGTTGTTTAGTCTCTACTACTGTTCCTGATTCTCTCCAGTGCTGCTCTGCCCTGTTTTTAGGTGCCTTTGATTTGCTTATTTGGGCTGTGTAAAGTGTAATGTTCTGATGATGCTACTTGTGTGTATAGGTTCTAATGCTTTGTTGCCTAGATGTAACTTTTTATTTTAAGACTAAGTGTTCCTTGTTACTACGTATGCATGCGCCGTGCGGAGCAGCAGCAAGTTACAGCAGCTGTGTCCTCGTGTTCTTTTCCGTGTTTTTTATGAATTTCTGTTCTAATGGTGGTGTGTTGGTTGTTCTCTATTGCTGCTATAACACAGAAATTTCCCCACTGTGTGATCAATAAAGTGCCTCTAAAATGTTCTAAAACCTCTGGTAAAGTCTTTAATTGTGCTCTGTTGTCAGACCAGCAGTCCAAAACACTCAGTTTCATATCACATATGACAAACGCAGCAAATTTGTTAAATTACGAAGCTGAAGAAGTGGGTGGTGCACTGCAACTATAGACTAAATGACTAGCTGTAAATATACAATAAAACAGACTGAGATTATACTGACAATTAAAAGGGCAACACTCACTAAACAAATTGTCCAATATATATTACATTTTTATTTAATCTAAAATCCGACATGTTCCACAGGTGACTGGACAGAAGCTGTAAACAGATTTGGGTGGAATGACCCTATTCACCCACCCATCCAAATCATTGAATTCAGGTGTTCCAACCACTTCCATGGTTACAGGTGTATATAATCAAGCACCTAGGCATGCAGACCACTTCTACAAACATTTGTGAAAGAATGGGTCACTCTCAGGAGCTCACTGAAGTCCAGCATGGTACCGTGATAGGATGGCACCTGTGCAATAAGTCCAGTCATGAAATTTCCTCACTACGAAGTGGTAGGCCACATAAAATCACAGAGCGGGATCAGCGGATGCTGAGATGCATAGTGCATAGAGGTCACCAACTTTCTGCAGAGGCAATAGCTACAGACCTCCAAACTTCATGTGGCCTTCAGATTAGCTCAGGAACAGTGTGTAGAGAGTTTCATGGAATGGGGTTCCATGGTCGAGCAGCTGCATCCAAGCCTTACATCACTAAGTGCAATGCAAAGTGTTGCATGCAGTGGTGTAAAGCACGCTGCCACTGGACTCTAGAGCAGCAGAGATGTGTTCTCTGAAGTGACAAATCATGCTTCTCTGTCTGGCAATCCCATGGACGAGTCTGGGTTTGGCGGTTGCCAAGAGAACGGTACTTGTCTGACTGCACTGTGCCAAGTGTAGGTCTTCTCGTCCAACATCAGTGTCTGACCTCACAAATGCGCTTCTGGAAGAATGGTCAAAAATTCCCATTAACATACTCTTAAACCTTGTGGACAGCCTTCCCAGAAGAGTTGAAGCTGTTATAGCTTCAAATGGTGGGCCAACATCATATTAAACCCTATGGATTAAGAATCGGTTGTTTCTCAACTTCATTTGCATGTGAAGGCAGGCGAGCGAATACTTTTGGCAATATAGTGCATCTGGTTTTCAACAGAATCACAATTTAACCTCTTGAAATGTTTAAATACGTCTTATTAAATTCATATTTTAACCTCAGAGACGCAGACTTCCCCCGTAGCTCATTACGCAGTTTTCTGTTAATTACAAATTAACGGTGAAATAACGGTCCATAAGCATAACTGAGGCTGAATAACAAAGAACAGAGAGGGAATCCATTTTATCCACCGGGCAGCTACGAGGCGCTCCGACACGGGCTGGACCTTAC